CCCACCCAAAGAAAACAACAACTATGTACCAATTATCAGAACATGCATGAAGTGTTTATGTGTCTGTGCACATAACAGACTGTGGTCGAAGAAGTAAAAGATGCAACTGAAATAATGAGATAAGTCTGAAGACTAAATAGATCTGCACTAATTGTGGATACTATTACAGACTCTTTATTGTACCCTGGAAATCAGGTTGTAGCTAATTGCTGATTTAGTATTGCTTTGAGTTCTGTATTTTTAATCCTTCCAACTGTGCTGTCAAAAATTCTATCATTTGAAGTGTACCTCAAGTACAAAAGGATAATTAGTGCCTTAAGTTTTCATGGATTATCTGAAGATATAATGTTCTAAGTTGTTCTGAGTTAAACATTTCTATTTTCTTCAAATATGTGTAATATGGCTAGTTTTGATTTTCCCTATTACCCCCTTGTCACTCTGACCAGTTTGTCTATGTTATTCTTATAGGACAGCACTCAATGCTGAACTCAATATTCCAAAAGTGATGTTAATTCTAATGTAAATTTCATTTTATCATGTGTTATTAACCATGATATAAATTTACTGTTTTTAATTTCCAAAGTTCCTTAGAGTTTTAATATGAAAAGGCATAACTTTATGAAGATACATAAGTCACCATTACCAAATAAACAATTACTCACTGAGATTTTTTCTCCAGATGTGCCAATATTTTTCTTCAGTTTTTTTCTTTCGTATATTTGATTATTGTGAGTCTTAAGCAATTCCTCAAAATGAACTTCGGTTTTTACTTTGGCTTCACTCTCAACTACACATAATGAAGACTCATGTCATTTTCTAAATAACTCTACTATAACACAGCTACATTATTATGTTAAAGAATACAGTCTTATAAGTACCCACATGAGTTCTCCAGCTACATTAGAACAACTAACCAGTCCTTTCTTCTTAAAAAAAAACTTTTCTTTTGGCTTTGATGACACCACACTCATCTGTATCCCTCTTACCTTTTGGTTTGCAACCTCTAAAAGTTTCCTTTGATAAGTTAATTTTTTACTTATGATGCACAGTAGCATCTATTACTCTTAGTTATATGGCCTTAGCTAAGTTAGTTAACATTTCTAAATGTCTTCCTTACATGTAATATCAGAATACTCTTATGTCAAAGATCATTTTCCATGAAAAATGGCTAACACTTGCCTAGTCAATAATCAACATTCAACCAATATAAAAAATTGAAAGTTGCTTTATTCCTTTAAAATATAAATCAAATCCTGTTATTCTCTTACTTAGTACCCTGTGAGTTTCCCATTTCACTTAAGACAGAAATAAAACAAGCCCTCCCTCTGTGCCGCAGGATTCATACTTCCTGGCCTACCTACCTCTACAGCTTCAAATTAAGACAAATGTCCCCTGAGATCCCTACGTTCTGGCCATACTGCCCTTCTAGATCCTCTGTCAGAACAAGTTCCTCCCCATGTGAGGCTGCTTCTACCGTTACTGACAACTTCATCTAAATTTCTCCACTTCTCAAGCAAGCAGACAATTCTTTTCCTTCACAGCACTTAACCCAACTTGAAACTGTGTAATTATTTGTGTATACCTATAAATAAATATACCATCTGTGTCTTCCACTATACTGTGTGGTGTACAACTATATCCTTAGCTACTATTATGGAGTCTGGCATAGAATAAATACTCAAACATGTATTAAATAAATGTTGAATGAATGAATGAATGAATGTCCCAGAGGAGATGTTGGCAAACAAGGCCTGCATGCCAGTCACCTGTTTATGTAAATAAAGTTTTATTGGAACAAAGCCATGCCCACTCTGTTAAGAATTGTTATGGCTGCTTCAGTGCTTCAATGGCAGTGTTCAGTAGTTGGAGCAGAGACCAAGCTTAAAATATCTACTGGCTTGCGTTTTAAGAAAAAGTTTGCCTCTGACTGTTTAGAATAAAACATTCATTTTGATGATTAAAAACGAAAACTAACCATATGTTGTAATTATTACTTACTTTGTCCAGTTGAGTCCTAAACTGCCATCCATTGAATACATGCTAACCTTCACTACCAACATCAAGTAGAAAACTTAATATCAAACTCTCAAATATCTCTAAATGTTAATATCTGGTTGATAACATCTATCTTATTCATTAATCTGTTAAAGCACCCATTAAAATAATCCAAACTTTAAAATAAATAAATTGTATTGTATACATACATTTCATAGAGGTCTCACCAGTGGGCATAATCTCAGTTTTATGGAGAGCACTGAGTTGCAATGTAAAGCATTAACTCACTCAGGATCCTATTAAAACAAAGAGGATTTATTTGGAATATGGAAGTTCCAAATAAAAATTATAATATACTCGTTAGGCAAAATGATGTCATCAGGTTTATACCAATTTCTCTTACCTCAATCTTATGTAAATAACTTGAATACATTTGAATCAGTTTAGAGTCCAACATAAAGTGAAGCAAATTGGATCACATTTGAATAGTCACATATTTGAAATAAAAGTTTAAAAAATTGAAAGGCAATAAACATGTAACTTGGTATGTTACACTTTTTATACACTTTTTATAAAGTGTTTCAAGTAAAAAAAAAATGAACACTGCAATGCACCTTTAAGAAACCAAATTCCATCTCAGGATTGACTAAGTCAAGTGCACACACTCTTGTGTTAGTCAAGAGTGTGGGGCTTGTGGGGCGCACATTCACAGATAATGAATTTAAAATCACTGAACCTGCCACTGAAAATGCTGCTGCAATAGAGAAGGTGAGCACAAGCATTCATCCCATCTTTCTCAAATAAATATGTAGGTGTGTGACATTGTGTATCAGAACTATGGGTAAATTCAGTATATATATTGCCTGAATTGCCAACTTTACTTAAAGATGGGGGTGTGTCCAAAACAAACATTAATTCCTACATTAGAACACATGTGCAATAGTTTTATTGATTTTTTAGAGAGAGAAGAAGGGAGAAGAGAGACACATCAATGTGAGAACCTAACATAAATCAGCTGCCTCCTCACAGCCCCCTACTGGGGATAGAGCCCCAAACCTGGGCATGTGCCCTGACTGCAATGGAACCAGCAATCTTTTGGTGCAAGGGTGAAACCCAACTCACTGAACCACACCAGCCAGGGCCAAGATGTATGTTTCTAAGAATAAAACTAAAAACGTTTAAAAGAAAAGGAAAACATTACTTGGGGTCGGCCCAGCAATTATCATTTTCTTCCGGTATTAGGGTACTTAGGACAGAAAACTCTGAGAAGAAATGCTAACAAAAGAAAAGAGTGATTATATAAATACACCTAATTATGTGAGTTAGGTAACAACTAAGTAGTACACAGGCAAAATAAGCATCCCTAAAGATTAAGGAGAGAAAAAGTTGTGAGGTTTGGATAACTCTTCAAAGAATTTTATAGCACAGGGGGGAAAAAATAAACAAAAACCTTTTGTACAAAATTCAATTAATAAATCAATGATAGTCTACACAAATAAACAAGATTCTAAACATGGTTTAAAAATACTTTTGGTATTTGAATTATTTCAAATATCTTTTTTAAAATTTACCATAGTCTTAAAACTACGCGATCTTCTTCCTGAAAGCTCAGTGACAGCAATCATTAATGCAACAGGTGAAGGGGGTGGGGGGGAGCCGAGAGAGAGAGAGAGAGAGAGAGAGAGACGCCAAACACTCCAATCAGCAGATGTTTCACAGTAGAGATTCTTAGTCTACTTTTTCCCCTATATTTATACATATCGAAAAGACCCTAGTAATGTAATTTAATTTTTTTCTTAAAAATGAAACGCCTCGCCGAAACCGGTTTGGCTCAGTGGATAGAGCGTCAGCCTGGGGACTGAGGGGTCCCGGGTTCGATTCCGGTCAAGGGCATGTACCTGGGTTGCGGCACATCCCCGGTGGTGGATGTGCAGGAGGCAGCTGATCGATGTTCCTCTCTCATCGATGTTTCTAACTCTCTCTATCTCTCTCCCTTCCTCTCTGTGAAAAA